TACAAACTGTGCTGCTATGAACATGGGTGCACATATATCACTGTGGTATGATTCTTTTAATTCTTTAGGGAAGATACCCAGCAGGGGAATAGCTGGGTCAAATGGGACTTCCAGTCCTAGTTCTTTGAGGTACCTCCATACTGATTTTCACAGTGGTTGGACCAATCTACACTTCCACCAGCAGTGGAGCAGTGTTCCTTCTTCCCCACAGCCCTGCCAGCATTTGTTGTTGGTTGATTTCATGATAGCAGCCATTCTTTCTGGAGGTGGAATCTCAGCATTGTTTTCATTTGCATCTCTCAAATGACCAGTGATGTTGAACATTTTTTCATAGGTTTATTTGCCATGTCTACTTCTTTGTGTGAGAAATGTCTGTTCATTTCAGATGCCCATTTTTGGATTGGGTCTTTAAATTTGGGAGGTCTGATTTTTTTAAGTTCTTTATATATTCGAGATAGTAGACCTTTGTCTGAGGGACCGCTGGTGAAAATTTTTTCCCACGTTGTGGGTTGTCTCTTCACACTGCTGGTGGTTTCTCTTGCTGTGCAGAAGCTTTTTAGTAAAAAAAGATCCCACTTGTTGACTGTTTGTGCTAGTTCACGGGCAACTGAAGTTTTATTCATAAAGTCTTTTCCTACTCCAGTGTCTTGAAGGGTTCTACCTAACCTCTGTTCCAGCTGGATCAGTGTTTGTTTGTTTTTTTTGTTTTGGTTTTTTAGTACCGGGGACCAAACTCAGGTCTTTGCGCTTTCGAGGCAGGTGGCAGAACCACTAAGGTAAATCCCGGGCCCAGTGTTTCTGTTTTTATATTTAGATCTTTAATCCATTTCAATAGACATATATATTTCTATTTGTTGTTTATATTTTGTATAAAGAAAATACTAGAAAAATTAATAAACTGCTGTTAGCTGTAAATGTCAGGCAGGTAGGAGTGGTTACTTAGATATGGGGATCAAGGCAATGGCTTTACGAATTTTAAATTTCTGAATGTGACTTACCTACTAAAAGATAACTTATTCAGAAAATAAACAGAACTTTAAAAAGTATTAAACTTCTCTTAGCCCTGATCTAAGTACTAAACCACTAAACCAAATGTACCATTCATCCATTAACAACTGATATGCACCATATCTGTGGTGGTAAACCTTTAGTATATGTGCCACAGTGGGGTGTTTGTTATCATTGAAAGCTCTAAAAGGTTCACCATCACTGCTATAGATGTATGAGGCCCTGGTTCATAGGTTACTGACACTTCCACAGAAAGGAAAAATTACACAAGTTCTTAAGCCTGTTGGTGAATGGTGAGGAGGGCTAATTTCAAAAATTAGCTAATAGTATAAGAAACAGTAATTTGAATTTTCCTCTACGGAGTAATACATACAAGTAGAAAAGTCTTTAACTCATGCACTGGGTAAGAATAAAGAGAAATGACAGATTACAAGATAGCACATTGTGGGGTACAGAATGTTACAACACTGAGGGCAGACCAAAGTTGTAGATGATCAAAGAACTGGGTGGAGGAGGGACTACAGTTAGTAACTGGTTAACATTCTACTTCCCACATTCAACTCTCCTCCTTCAACTCTCCTCCTTCATTTTTAAAGGAAGTTATTTGCTAACTGTTCCAGGTTTCTCCAAAGCTCTAAGTAAATTCTAGCAGAACCTAGCAAGACAGCAGTTTTAAAGTGTTAAACATTACCGCTAAACCATTTACTATCAAATTGGTTGTAGTTATATGCTTTTCCAGAGTGTATACCACAACACTTTTCTGTAGCCTGAAAAGAATACTTTAGAATGTATAAATGCCTTCCAATATACAGTATAAGCTTGTATACACCATTTCTTTCAAATAAACCTAAATTGTTACCATTCTGTAAAATACCTGTGATGTCCAGCCCTTACCTATGTTAAAATTGAAAGAAAAATGTACTAGGTGAGTGGGTCTGCAGCTTTAAAAAAAAGTAAATGTTTCTGTTTTCAATTATTTTCAAGTGGAAGGAACATGAAAAGTACACATTCTGTCAGCCAAGTGGGCATTGTCTCTCTCCTCTTTAACCACTATCCAGTTCTCTAGACTGCTAGTATCATGGCCTGTTAGAAAAATTACATTAAAAAGTACAGACTGGAAAGCTAAGGCACCAAGGGGTTTCAGCAACTTACCAGTCACACCATTAGTTAATTGCAAAGAAAACCCATTTTCTTAAGTGCAAATCCAGCACTCTTCACAAAACCAAGCTATTTAGCATCTTAAAAACTCTTTCCCATGTCTTTTCCTTTTATTAATGCAAGACTGGTAATGCTAGTAAAATAAAACTAAAGGTTTTTTTTGGGGGGATTGAACTCAGGATCTTGGATTTGCGAGGCAAGTGTGGCACCACTGAGCTAAATCCCAGGCCCCCAAACTAAAGTATCTTTTCCCCTCTCCTGATTCCTGCTGGGAACTTTGCATTACCTAAAAGCTAGCTCTCTAGGGATGTTATACTTATCTTACTAAAGAGGGCTTATTAATGAACCAGAATAATGAATGACTACTGCTACTGCTAAGATTAAGAAACCATCCACTGTAGCCCATCCAGTATGTCAATGAAAACCCAAAAGGCACCAGTAACAGGAGTACTCACTTTTATTAATAGCTGAATTTTAAACAGAAATTGTGTGGAGGATATTTACTAACTAACAGGAAACACCTGCAATAGGCCGCACACTTGCAGAACAGCAAACTTACAGGAAGTCTGTGAGGCTACTTTGTTTTGTCTTCCTTTTTAAGTCTCTTCACATGTGCCTTGTTGAGGGGATGATCTTAAAAGTTTGTAATAAAATGAAAATATTTTGAAAAACCAAACATGATGGGTTTCCCTGTAGTGGCAAACATTTTTAGAATAAACCATTTGGCCAGTTGGATACTACAGTATGTTGCCTGATACACATTTAAGTTTCCATTCCAGTGAGCAAACCCGGCAACATTTTGAGAGGCTATAATTAACTTATCAATAGAGTTCCAGTGTAACTCAATTCTACATGGATAGAACAAGCAGGCAATTAATTCCTCAAAAAAGTAAAACAATAAAAATCAATGGATATTGAGGCCATGCTCTAAAGTGAAATACATAGGACACACATGTGTAAATACTTGTCTCTCTAGTGTGAGAAACTGAGAGTGTAAATGAGGAACAAAATGTGTAAGATATGTGAAATAGGACACAAAGGTTCAAAGGGAAAGGGGAAGTAGGGGGGTGGGATAAAGGAAAGAAGGGAAAGAAAAAATATGAGAAAAGTAAAAAACAGAAAACAAAGCTTTTTTTTTTTTTGGCTGGAACTCAGGTCCTTGAGCTTGCAAGGTAGGTGGTGGAACCACTGAGCTAAATCGCCAGCCCCAGAAACACTGCTTTTGTAAATAGAAAGGGGTGGAGGGATGAAAGGGAGGGAAGGGGACTGGGAAAAAACAAGAACTAAGATATATCATGTACAGGTACAAATTCCCAATGATGAATGTGATCATACTGTATACCTAAAATGTACCAATAAAGTTAATTTTTGAAAAAAAGGAAAAAAAAATGTACAGTAAAGCAGGCAGGGCCCAAAACACCCAATTTACTTGACAGAATTAAAGGGACTAATTTTAGAAGTCTGTTTTTGAGCTGGGTGTGGTGTTCTATGCTTGTAGTCCCAACATTATGGGAGGCTGAGGCAAGATTATTCTGAGTTAGAGGCTAACCTGGGCTACATAATGAGGCCAAGGCCAGCCTGGACTACATAGTGAGACCCTGTCTCAAATAAAAAAAAGAAAGAAGTAGTAGCTCAATCTGAGCCCAGCCTGGGCAACTGAGCAACTCTGTCTCCAAATTTTAAAAAGAAAAAAATATAAAGGGTTTGGGATGCAGCTCAGTGCCAACACCCTGAGTTTAACTGCCCGCACCAAAATAAAAAGAAAAAAATCTTTCAAAGCAGATATAAAGATACAAACATAGAATCTACATGTGTATGTTCAATAACCCCTCTCCCACCTCCCAGACTCCAGTAGAAAAAGAGCAGGGTACAAATAATTTGTTAATTGCATGAACCAACTTCTAGAAATGAACCCCATCATCATGTAATATTAATATGTATTAATAAAATATGATAAAAAGACAGAGACCAACTGGAACTGGACTAAATGGCTCCACAATATAGCAAAAACATTCTTGTGGTTGGAATTGCTAAATCACACATCCAATTACCCAGTTAGGGTTGTCTATACAGAATGACAGCATGAACACAGCCAAATGAACTTTACTGAGTTCAAAACTATTTCTCCACTAGCTTCGATGAGATAAATGCTGATTCATGTTATAAACAATAAATAACATACTAGCAAAATGGACCAAATGCTTTATTCTAAAAAATGTGCCTCTGTGGAAAAACCTCCACATTGAAAATATTTTTATTCTGAACTCAAGAAGCAGGCATGTCTTGCAATTTTAGTTTATTAGTAGGACTTTCCACGGATTTTAAAAACCAGACTAGAGGGCCGGGGATTTAGCTCAGTGTTTCCGCTGCCTGCCTCGCAAGCACAAGGTCCTGAGTTCAATCCTCTGTACCAAAAAAAAAAAAAAACTAGACTAGAAAATTTGTTACCAACTCCTGCCACTTACAAGTCCCACATTTCATGTATCATGACAAAACTTTTTTTTTTGGTACCAGGGATCAAACTCGGGTCCTTGCGCTTGCTCAGCAGGTGGCGAAACCACTGAGCTAAATCCCCAGTAACAAAACTTTTTAATAGTAGTAGCATCCCCTTCCCTCCAAAAGAATCACAGTGTCAACTCTGGATATTTTTAAAAGTTTATTTCTATTTTACATTTTTTTTTTTTTTTTTTTTTTTTTTCCCGGGGGTCGAACTCAGATCTTTGCGCTTGCGAGGCAGGCGACGGAACCACTGGGCTAAATCCCCGGCCCAGTTTATTTCTATTTTAACTAGCCCTCAGACCCAACTCTTTGAGGGCTGAGTTGATTTGTTTTTGTTTTTTTTTTGGTACCGGGGATCGAACTCGGGTCCTTGCACTTGCGCAGCAGGCAGTGAAACCACTGAGCTAAATCCCTGGCCCCTGAGTTGATTTCTGTCTAGCACATGGTCTACAGACCCTCCTCCTTGTGGTAATTTTCTTGCTATCTCTTTCCAAAAAAGTGTGCACCTTCCATCATGATGCACATTTAAAATGGGTAATACAACCCTCAAAATGCAATTTTATTGAATAAAGCTGAGAAGAGCAGTAAACAGACAAAAAATGCATCCACCTAAATAAAAAATTTACTTATTTACAAAATTTAATAACTGTCAAGTTTTCACATGCAAATGTTATGCACAGGAAAATGTTGGTAGTAGCATTTAGATGTCTTGAAATGCTGAAAGCAACAAACAGACACAAACACAGTAAGGGTTAGCTGAAGGTCAGTTAACAAACCTAAGCAGTCCCCACAGAGTCACACATTTTAGTTCCAATTCCTCTTTTTAGGCACAAGTTCTTATGGTGTTTATAATGGTTCCCAGTGACCATTAATGATATTGAACTATGGTAGCAATTTTAAATATCCCTTCATTTATAGAATCACCCATCCTATCTAAGAAGTATGCAACATGCCTCAAATAATAGAACTTTTAAAGCTCAGATTCTCCTTGTTAAAAAATGTGAATGGAGAAAAATAAGCAGTGTCTGTGCAACACAGTGCAGTATTTTGTACAGAATATTTTTAAGGCCATGGCAGTCTATAAATTAAACTGGTATTCATTAAAAGAAATACTGTTGACTACACATCTGAAAATGCACTGTCTACATAAGTGCTGCTTAACAAAAGAAACAAAATCACACACAGTGTGAGGCAACATATAAGAAGGTGTACCAGAGTTGTATCTACTATAGCATTCTGTATGAATAACAATTTACAAGTGAACCAGTAATAATATGTCCCTTTATGTTTATGGAGATCACTAAACTACAAAATATGTTCATTTTGTTTCTATACATTTCTGTATGAAGCAAACAAACAGCATCAGTTCCTCAGTTCTCTGTGTGACTATTAACCAACCTGTAGACACTCTACATGATTATGTTAGACAAAGCAGGCAGGTCTAGAGTTGTCACAATAATCAAGATGTCTGATGGCCCTAGACAAAAGAGTGCCAAATCTTAGAAAAAAATAAGAATTTTTATTTGTTTATAAGTGTCTTTTGTGCTGAAAGTCAACTTTATGACTGGATATAAAAAGTCAAGGGTTAGAGTGTCATGCAGCAGCACTGATTTAATGACTAGAGATAGAAAGAACAAACAGGTATTTGAACGAAGTCTGACATTCTTAACAGGCTTTATTATATTGGCTGGAATACTCTAAATTCATGAAAACTTTTGAGAAAATCTTCAATTCCCAATCCCTTAAAAAAGTACTGAAAGAAAAAAAGTTTTAAAAAAATTTATGATCTGGGCAGATAAAAAACAGCATACATTAACTCCTCCCATACTTCCAACTGTTATCTGTGATAAAGGATTCCCAGAAAGCAGAATGCCTGTGAAATTCATTAGGCAGGATCTCTCCAGTATAAAGAACCAGCAACACGGATATGATGCCTCTGCTACCTGTTCACAGACCACTGTTTAATTCCTAAGGTATAATTATATATTTCACATGCATTTGTGAGATAAAATAAACATTATGTTTATTATCCCACATTAATTAGGCTTAAAAGGTTTTCTAAATACTGTGTGACACTAGAAATTTCATGCTGTATCAAGTCATTATCAGTATTAAGCTACTGGACTCTATAATGAAATATAGATATTTACTGAAAACCAATATAAAAATCTGGCCCAGAAAGGCCAGAATGGAAATATGCAACTTTCTGGATTTAAGATGGTGAAAAGTATGCATTCTTTTTGTAAAACTAAAAACCAAAAAAAAAGCTCTACACACTGTTTAACACAAGTACTATATGTGTGAGAAGCCTTTTTATGTGTGCTGACTTTATCATGACAACTCTAGTTGATTCTTTATGAAGTAATAGGGTTACACATTTTCAGCAGTGCACATGAGAAATAAACTCTGAAAAAGGCAATTTCTTGGGTTTGGGAAGGACCACATTCTGGGAAGTACTTCAGAGGAACGGACAGTAATTCTAGGATTATAGCCAAGAAGGACTGGAAGACTTCAGGAGATGTTTCAGCTTCTTCTAGATTTTGAATGTTGAATAAGCCACTGAAGTGTGATATCTAAAGATGGGGGAAAAAGTGAAAGTGTTAAAGATACCAAAGTTAAATTCAACATCAAATAGAGACAATACTTAAAAGTACAGCTAACTCCAGCTACATGCTGGATGTCTTCTGCTTTTTTACATCTATATTACTGTACTGTGAACTTGAACTTGACAAGGATAATATGAGAAAATAACAGAGAATGAAGAGACTTCTGGTTTAAAAATTAAATTGTGATCTAGATGTAATGGTATACACCTGCAATCCAAGCACTCCTAGAGGCTGAGGCAGGAGGATTGAACCTGGAGCCCAGGCTGGGCAACTTAGTGAAACCTGGTCTCAAAAAATAAAAAAAAGGACTAGTGATAAAGCCCACTGTGAAAACCCTGGGTTCTATCCTCTAGACAGAGGGAAAAGAAATTTGCAAAAGCAAAAAAAGAATCAAAAAGGGCATAAACCAGTGTGGAACTCGTTATGGACTTTTGTTGTTGTTGTTGTTTGAGACAGGGTTTGTCTCCATAGTTCAGCCTGGCCTTAACCTCACTATGTTGCCCAAGCTGGCCTCAAACTTGAAGCAATCCATCTGCCTCGGCCTCCCAAGTGCTGGAATTACAGGCATGCAACACCATGCCCAGACTTTATGGACTTTAAGAGATAGACAGGGCTGGGGATTTAGTTCAGGAGCACAGCGCTTGCCTGGCAAGAGCAAGGTCCTAAGTTTGATCCACGGTACCAAAAGAGATAGACAGAGATAGAGATAGATAGATAGAGATAGAGAGAGAGAGAGAGAGAGAGAGAGAGAGAGAGAGAGAGCGAGAAAGAAACATGGCTAAACCACAGGGATACACCACAGGGATATTCCTGTGAAGGCAAGAGCAAGAGGTCACAACTTTGCTTTTTTGACATTTTAGGCTGACTAATAATAATAATAAATTCTTTTCTGTGTTCTGTAGAATGTTTTGCAGCATACACGACCTTAACCACTATATGCCACTATCACCCCCGCAACCCCAATGTGACAACCAAAAATGCAAAATGTCCCCTGGGGAGCAAAAATGTCCTGAGTTGAAAACCACTAGGTGAGAGGTAGCCAGATAACACGGTAGATGCGAAAGAATCTTCTGGCCTGAATGGGTATGTAAATCACGAAGCTGCTGTCTAAAACAGTGGCTAAAGGAGAACTGCAACAGGAATAAGGCCTATGAATTCAAACTGCAGGCACATCAACACATATGGAGACGTCTGACAAGTATTTTAGTCCTACAGATCTGAAGAAGAAATGTAGACTGAAAAGGTATGACAATATAGGTGGCAGCTAAAGCCAGAGTAGCTGAGATTAGCCAGGCAAAGCACACACACCAAGAAAAGAAGGCAGCTGAGTCAGAACACTGAATTACTGTCCTGAGTTCTTTAAAACATGTTATCCACCTAAAGAATATTTGAGAATCTATTAGAACTACTCTATCCTCCAAGACTGAAAGATACGTGCAGATATAATCTTCCAGTTTCCCAGCTAACACGCAGTGGAGAAACAGTAAACCACACACATAAAGAGCAGCGTAGAGTTGGGATCTGAACAAACAGGACCTATTCATAGTTGTGAAAACAATGATTTAAACAACACAACTGCTGAAATACGCCCTCTATACCTCTTATTGCCATACCGTGTAGTAAAGGAGAAAGGAATCTGGAAGCAAAGGAATTCACTAAAAATCAAAGAAAATCCTTTCTGGATATTGGACAGAAGGCCATATCCTAAAGACAAATAAAAACTTAAGACTAGATCGGTAGGAGAAGTCATATTCCATAAAAAGTGTCACAGAAAGTCACAGGTACAAATAATCTTTGCCAAGATCATCTTAATAAAAGAAACGTTTTCCATGTGACTTGAGAACAGATTCCTAATGAAATTAAGGTACTTTCTGTGCCACATAAGGAAGCTGAAAGTGTAATATACAACTATGTTCAATGAAATAACTTTTGGGCCTGAGATTTAGCTCAGCGGCACCAGCCTGCCTTGTAAGCACAAGGAGTTGAGTTCAATCCCCAGTACCAAAAAAAAAAAAAAAAAAAAAATTGGGAGCAATTCAATAAATTAAAAAAATCTGGAACCAAAACATATTATAAAAAATAACATAAATAACAATAAAAATAAACATAATTAACAGAAATAAAAAAGGGTATCCTAACTTGATAACTCAAGAAGCCTAAGCCACTTGGCTGTTAGTTACAGTTCTTATTACAAATAAACAAACATTCTGATTTACAAACTACTTGCTTTGACTCTAAGATTAGATCAGTTTCCTTAGACTTGATAACACTTTAGGTGAACCAAGAGTTCTAAAATTACAAACATGGTAACTACTGAGCCATACAGCAAGCTATGAATATTAGCCTCAATTAGCTACTAAAGTTCTCACCAGCTCTGCTCCATCTCCTGCATAAATGAGCTCAACAGGGCCGGGGATTTAGCTCAGTGGTTCCGCTGCCTGCCTCGCAAGTGCAAGGTCCTGAGTTTGATCCCCGGTACCAAAAAAAATTTAAAAAATAAAAAAAATAAATGCGCTCAACAGACCCATCCCCCACCCCATACTGGGAATCAAACTCAGGACCTTGTGCCTGTCAGCCAGGGGCAGCACCACTGAGCTAAATCCCTGGCCCTCAACAGACTTTTTTTTTTAAGCTTAGATTTATTTCACTCAACATTACATTTTCCAGGTGAATCTATTTTCCCACAAATTTCTCAAATTTCTCATTCTTTATAGCTGAGAAGTATTCTATTATATACAGATACCACATTTTCTTTATCCAATTGTCCATTAATGGATATACAGGCTGCTTCCAGGATTTGGTGATTATGAAATTTTGCTTCCATAAACACTGGTATACATGCATCGCTGTAGCATGATGACTTAAGCTCTTCGGGGAAGACACCTAGCACGGGGATGGCTAGGGTCATAAGGAATTTCTAATTTCAGTTCCTTGAGGAATCTCCATACTGATTTCCATAATAATTGTACTAGTTTGCATGCCTACCAACAATGCAGGAGGGTTCCCTTTTCACCACAGCCTCACCAGCATTTGTTATTGTTTGATTTCTTTTTTTTTTCCATTAAGTTTATTGGTACATTGTAGGTATACAATACAGTTGTATTCATCATTGGGAGCTTGTACCTTTACATGATGTATCTTGGTTTCAACAGACTTTTGTTAGGCAATTATTTGGCTCGTTTGTGAGATTGGTAAAAGATTTTTTTCCCCTTCCTTCAAAAGCTTTTTATTTTCTATTTTAGGAAAGTAACTAGAGAAAATATAAAGTAGTAATAAATTTACAGAATAGCACAATTTACTGAAAATTACAGTTAGTGCAGAACAAGGTTTTCTTTGGCTAATCCTCTGCTGTGATGAGAATATCTAGCAATACCTCTGGTCTCTGGAGGCTCACCAGATGCCAACCTCACCCTCCTGGTTATGACAACCAAAACACTATCTCCAGACATTGGCATGTGTCTCCTGGGGGAAAAATTCCCCACTGACAAATAATGTTGTAGAAGTAAGTGCACTAGGGCCAGGGATTTAGCTGTGGTACCACGCCTGCTTCGCAAGCGCAAGGTCCTGAGTTTGATCCCCAGTACCCCCCCAAAAAAAATTAGAGAAGTGCTCTGCTCTCATGGCAGTGAATCTTAAAATTTAACTAGCATTTCTTTCATGCACATATAACAGAAAAAGACTTCAAATGAAGTCTGAGCAACCATAAATGTCTTGTAGTTTGTTCTCAAATTATACCAATGTTCACAATTCTACCCATTCAACAGAGAAGAATCTGTGGCAATCAGTAAAATTCCCAGGGCTAAAACTGCTTTTGGGTGGTCTTTAGAGGAACCCCAGAATCACCCATAACTATGAGCACGTTTGGAAGTAGGGGCGGAGGGGTCAGGTGGAGGAAGATAGACTGGATTTAACTTGAAAAAAAAGTTAAGTATACTGAGAACAAATACACATTGTATTAGGGCTAGAGGAAAAAAAGTATCTTTTAAAATACGCTATTACATTTATTCTAATACATTTATTAAATAAACCCTCACCAAATTAGTTTAAGAGACTAAAGGTGGGCCAGCCCTAAGTAGGTATTTATATTACGTATGTATGCATGGCTTTAAATTCAATGTATTATAATTGAACCATGTTCTAGAAATTTACATCAGCCCAGAATCTTAGAATATGACTTTATATGTAAATAGGGTCTCTTCAGAAGTAGTTAAAATGAGATCATGCTGAATTAGGGTGGGCCCAAATCCAATGAGTTGTGTTCTTTTAAGACAACACAGTACTCTCACAGGGGAGAAAGCCATGTGAAGCATGACTGTTAGGCAGAGACTAGAGTGGCACATGGACAAGCCAAGGAATGGCAAGAATTGCTGGCACCAAGCACAAGGTAGAAAGAGCCAAGGATGAATTCTCCTCTAAGCTTTTGGATAGACAGTGTACAATCCTGCTGACCCCTTGATTTTCGATTTCTAGCTTCTTGAGCATGATAAGTTTCTCAGGTTTTAGTTTTGTTTTTACAGTACTGGGGATTAAACTTAGGGCCTCCTGCATACTAAGCAATCACTACTGAGCTATACCCAGACAAGTTCCTGGTGGGGTGTTTTTTGTTTGTTTGTTTGAGACAGGGTTTCACTCTGCAGTTCAGGCTGACCTTGCACTCACTATATACTGCAGGCTGGCCTCTAACTCACTTCAATCCTCCTGCCTCAGCTTCCCGAGTGCTGGGATTATAGGTGTGCACCACCTCCCCAGCTCTCAGTTTCTGTTTTAGACCATTTAGTTTATGGTACTTTCTTGTTGCAGTTTGCAGTTTTAGGAAATTAATGTAGATAATTAAGTAGATAAAGGGTATTTTTGGCTGCCACCTCTAATAGATTGCTAACATATTTTTGTAACATACTAGCTAATAAATGAGAAATTGTTATAGTGCCTACAGACCAAGTTTTATAAAGTCTTATTTCAAAAATGTCATATTATAAACCATAGCTAAATACTAGCTCTGTAAAAATTAATACAATAAATTGGTATCACATAATGCTTAACCATATAATGCTTAACCTCAAGGCTTTACTGCATTTATATCTTTAAATAGCACAGAAAAGATTTAAGATAGTATACTTGTTATCAAAATGTATAATGTATGTTTTTTCCTGAAGCAATATTATATCGCAAAGAAAGTAAGTTTAACAGAAATATGGATAATAAACAGTAGGAAGCATTACATATATCTTCCAATGATACCCACTTCTTTAAAAAAAAAAAGTCATTTCTTACCTATATTATCCTTTTCTTTGCAAGAAATTGAATAGCAGCAAATTTCTCTATCCTGAATAGCAGACAGATTCCTATAAGGAACAGAATTAAGAGAGTGTGTGCTTACAACACTTTATCATTTGTCATATTTATCATTTATCATATTTATCATATTTATCATTTCTTGCATAATTTAAGTGTTATTTTCATTACTATGCTGAAAAACATATTTTACAATTAACTGAATTTTTAGGGAGTCATTTCTGTGGTAGGCCAAATTTATCTACTAAAATATGGCTATGATCACTACTGAATAATATAATGATACTAAACAAAACAGCAGGCAAAATAGTATATTTCAGAATCAAATTTAAAAAAAAATACTACTCATTCTCAAAACATACATTTTTTCAATTAGCTGTTTCTCATCCAAGGCATTTGGAAGATCTCTCTTGTTTCCAAGTACTAATACCTTCAAACAGAAAAGATATTACAGGTAAACTTTTATGTACAAAAACATCACAGAAACATATGATATATGAAGATGTAAAAATATATTAACATGTTTTAACACTGAAGCATTATTTGCATAAGTGGTGGCTCATTTCATTCATTTAATTATTCATATTGGCATTCACTTAATTACCATTACATTGATGACCTGAATTCAATTTGTGGTTTTCAACTTCATTTAAAACAGTCTAAATCTTAGGTAAACACCTCAAAACGAATAGAGTTAATATTAAAGATAAAAGGATCATGACAAACACTACTGACTTCTATTTTTTTGCCACTATTCATCGATATTCTTTTGATATGTCTCCTGCTTGTTTAATATGGTTATAAAAAGAAGCCTAAAGTGTGAAGAACTTGTTAATGTTCTTGTACTCTCTCTCCCTGACTATGAAAGAAAGATGGTCCACCAAACAACATAATCCATCTTCCTTTGTTACCTTTAGATCAGTCAGGGTGAGATTTCTGATCTCTGGCAAGGCAGACACAACTGCCCTCCTCTGCCTGAAGAATGCCCTTCTGCATCCTTTAATAATAAAGGGGGCAGGGAATAAAGGGTCAGGGCCAGAGCTCAGTGGTTCCGCTGCCTGCCTGGCAAGCACAAGGTCCTGAGTTCGATCCCTGGTACCAAAAAATAAAAATAAAATAAATAAATAAAGGCAGAACGACAACAAGAAAAATTGTAATCTTAAAAATGGAAACTGCAGGGCTGGGGATTTAGCTCAGTGATTTCGCCACCTGCTGTGCAAGCGCAAGGACCCAAGTTCAATCCCTGGTACCAAAAAAAAAAAAAA